ATCAAAATTATGTTTGAGTTTATTATGCTTCATATCAACCAATGGAGTAAGAAAAACAAAACCAATTTTTTTTATGCCACTGGCAGGCATTTTTCTTGTTTTAAGCATAAAGTCACTTCATTTTGTTATATTTTTCATTAATGCAATTTATTTTTATGTATTTTTTCCATGTAATTTTGCTTCTCAAGTAATTGTATCTTCATTCGATTCAGCTTTAAGCAGCTCTTCAGAAAACAACAGTGTCATTATTCAGTTTTTTTGTTTTGTTTTCGTCCAATATTGCCAGTGGCATCAAATCAATGATTTTATTAAATGTCTTGGATCATTGCTATTTGGTTGCTGGGGTTTTCCGGGTCTTTTTTAAGGTTTGGTCCTTCTTTCAGTGCAATTCTATGGGATTTTTACATCATTTTTATCATCTGCCTGACGAAAATCATAAGTCCGATCACTAAGACAAATAATAGCACACATCTCGGCATGATTTGAGAGTTACGAGCTGACAACTCCCAACCCCGAGTATGAGCAAAAGTAAATGGCCCCTAACAATACAACAAGTGAGATATTCTGACTTTTTCACCCCTATAGACCCGGGCATGCGGGTCTCACTTAATCTCACAGCTTAAAACAATGGCATTGTGAGAGCGAAATGACAGCTTCTCTGTTTATAGAGCGGAGATACGGGCTTTATCAGCGACTCCCACCTTCAGAATACTGGGGATCTGATAACACCTCCCCCTAAATACACCTCAGAACGCTCTTAAGAGAGCCAGGAATGTCTCCAGGCTTTCGGAGAGGTGTTGAAGGACGCGTCCTGTCGCTGGGCTGATGACAGCAGGGGAACACTGTGGCTGTTAATCCTCAGATAGAGCAAACAGTCTGTTTACACGCTTCAGCCTCAGCACTCACTCAGCGCCAGCGTCTCGTTTCCTCGTGAAAGATAAGCATAGACGACTGCAGTCTGATTTATAGGACTGATGGAATGATTATTTTGCAAATGCACAACAGGTTATACATTTTCCCACACCAAAAGGGTTTTCTATGCATGCTATGTATGCTTTGCCATTCATGCAAAAATTATTTTGTCTTACTTTCTATTGTAAACATCAAAATATTCTTAAAGCAATATACATTTACATGAGAAGCAAAATGACAGGAGTCTTGTTTTTATGCTCTAAACAAGAAAAAATATCTGTAACACTTTGGTTAAAGCCTTTGTGCTTAATGCATTATAAAGGTATTCCTAATTATATCTTTTCATAAATAATTGTAGTTAAAATGCATTATAATATTTAAAGGTTTGTTTGTCATGAGTTTTAATGCATTATACTTTCTAAATGAATAGATAAGAATTATGAAATATTATAAATGAGGTTTCAATTATTCATGAGATCATATAATGCATTATAAGGTGCATTACAAGGCACAGTTAATTCATCAAAACTACTTTTATAATGCATTGTATATAAAGGCTTTAAGTAAATGTCAGCTGATGGCATAAGAAAAATAAACTTGTTTTCTCAAGTAAATGTATCTTGATTTAAAAATATTTAGATGTTTGTACTGGACAACGACAAAAATACTGAGGAAGAAAATAATTTTTGCAGTGCAAATATCAGACCTTGAGTCTTGGATCTCAAATGCTTTATAGTTCATCAATAATATGTAAATAAGTAAAAATTAATAATTCATTCACAAAATGTCACATGCACTCTAAGATACTTAATATTAACTAGATAAAAAAGTTCGTCAAGACAAACTTTAAGTTGGCTTGAGAAAGCCGGACCAGAAAGTTTGAAAAAGTTTGAAAAGATTAAAAAGTTTAAGAAGTTTAAAAAGTTTTAAAAGCTCAAAGATTGAATGTTTTGAAGGCAATACAGTCTGTAGATAGATAGATAGATAGAATATATAGCATTTCAGTAAGTTGGCTTTCACAAGCCAACTTAATAATACTTAATACTTAAGTAATAATATGGATTTGATAGCATTGACACTACTGGATGAGAATTAAGCTGAATAATAACACTACTGTTTTTTTTAGTGCTGCTTTACAGCTGAATTTGAATTTGTCTCATATTTGATGAAGTTTCCATCATTGATTCTGCTTTTTTCCTGTTTATCACCATGAAGCTGCTTTGAAACATTCTGTATTGTATGAGGTGCTATAGAAATAAAGGTGACTTGACTTGCTAAAGTGCTTAAGGTAATTGAACAAACTCCTACAACTAAGTATGAGCAAAAAATAACAGTGATGAAGACCTCCAGTATAAAGCAGCCAGACTATTCTGTTTTCTCCCGTTCTGGAGTCTATTGTAGACGAGGGCAAAAGGTCATGGATTATTTTATCACTTGACATTCCTTACAACAATGGTTATGGCATTTTAGCAGACAGGAGGAGATGCCCACGCTGCAGCCAAAGTGCTGAGCACAGACCGTTCCCACACTCACCCATATGAGACAAAGAAAAACACAGAGAAGGAACATCAGACGAAGACAGACTCAACTCACACACACACACACACACACAAACACAAACACACACACACACACACACAGACCCACGCACGCACGCACACACTAATATTTAATAAAATAAGTATTTATTATATATAAAATATACATAAAATAGATGTGTATAAAATGATTTAAATATTAAATTATATATAAATAAAAATACACTTATTTCTATCTATCTGTCCGTCCGTCTATCTATCTATCTATCTATCTATCTATCTATCTATCTATCTATCTATCCGTCCGTCCGTCCGTCCGTCCATCATTCTATCTATCTGTCCGTCCGTCCGTCCGTCCATCCATCCATCCATCCATCTATCCGTCCATCCGTCCGTCCATCATTCTATCTATCTATACATCCATCCATCCATCCATCCATCCGTCCGTCCGTCTATCATTCTATCTATCTATCTATCTATCTATCCATCCATCCATCCATCCGTCCGTCCGTCTGTCCGTCCATCATTCTATCTATCTGTCCGTCCGTCCGTCCGTCCATCCATCCATCCATCCATCCATCTATCCATCTATCTATCTATCCGTCCGTCCGTCCGTCTCTCTATAAAGACAGTTCTTTGTCTTTTGTGCACATTTGTTTATCTTGGGCGGATTACAAACTGATGTGGATGTCTCAAAATTGATTTAGGTAATAACAAGATTAAAAATATAGGCCTGTAATATTTTACATTTTGTGGTTCATATCTATAACAATGTGAACATCCTCTCTGATGGGAGCAAGTCATTTTGTTTCTAAGAAATACGCTAACACGTGTTTATAAACACCAATCTGCACAATCTCTATCACAGGTAACAACTTTAACCTCTGTTCCTATTAAGACTACGAGAACGAAAAATACCAAGCATCTCGCGCAGTGAAGTTGTGGTGTATTTAACGCCTGCGCACACACGGTCCATAGTGGAGAGAATTGTGAATGGGGGGAGTATTTTGGGTGTACAGTCATAAGTCGGACTCCGAGGAGCCCTCAACCTCATGTCGTTCCAAACCCATAAGACTCTCTCCGTCCGTCCGTCCGTCCATCTATCTATCTATCTGTCCGTCCGTCCGTCCGTCCGTCCATCCATCCATCCATCTATCCGTCCGTCCGTCCGTCCATCATTCTATCTATCTATACATCCATCCATCCATCCATCCATCCGTCCGTCCGTCTATCATTCTATCTATCTATCTATCTATCCATCCATCCATCCATCCTCTATCTATCTATCCGTCCGTCCGTCCGTCCATCATTCTATCTATCTATCCGTCCGTCCGTCCGTCCGTCCATCATTCTATCTATCTATCTATCCATCCGTCCGGTCCGTCCATCATTCTATCTATCTATCTATCTATCTATCTATCCGTCCATCATTCTATCTATCTTTCTATCCATCCGTCCATCCATCCATCCATCCGTCCGTCCGTCCGTCCGTCCGTCCGTCCGTCCGTCCGTCCGTCCGTCCGTCCGTCCGTCCGTCCGTCCGTCCGTCCGTCCGTCCGTCCGTCCGTCCGTCCGTCCGTCCGTCCGTCCGTCCGTCCGTCCGTCCGTCCGTCCGTCCGTCCGTCCGTCCGTCCGTCCGTCCGTCCGTCCGTCCGTCCGTCCGTCCGTCCGTCCGTCCGTCCGTCCGTCCGTCCGTCCGTCCGTCCGTCCGTCCGTCCGTCCGTCCGTCCGTCCGTCCGTCCGTCCGTCCGTCCGTCCGTCCGTCCGTCCGTCCGTCCGTCCGTCCGTCCGTCCGTCCGTCCGTCCGTCCGTCCGTCCGTCCGTCCGTCCGTCCGTCCGTCCGTCCGTCCGTCCGTCCGTCCGTCCGTCCGTCCGTCCGTCCGTCCGTCCGTCCGTCCGTCCGTCCGTCCGTCTATCTATCTATCTATCTATCCGTCCGTCCGTCCGTCCGTCTATCATTCTATCTGTCCGTCCGTCCGTCTATCTATCTATCTTATAAAATATATCTAAAATACATAATCTATATATATATATATATATATATATATATCTCCAAAAATATGTAATATGTATATTTTATAACTAAAATACACCACATTATGGAAGCTAAACACGAGTGTTTGGTTCAGATACGGTTGAAATGATGCTGTAATGAGATCAACAGGATGCTATAGTGAGAAACCGAATAGACTGACATCAAACCATTGTTTCCAGAAATATTCCCAGTCCTGGTGTGTGTAACAGCGTCAATCGATGAGAGCATTTCAAACACCAGCGAGGGACTGGAGCTGTGCGTTTATAAGACTGGTGTTACCTTAAGTGTTCCCGGTGGGATGACCAAACTAACCTAATAAACCCAGCTGGACCACAAACAGTCTGCCCACAGTATCCAGCAGCAGAGAATCAGTCCAGCACACCACAACCTCATTTGCATTTTTGTCTTGTTTTCCAACAGATAAGAAATCTAAACCTCCTTCAAATGATATGATTGGTCAATGTTCTGTACAGGTTTATGCTTTAACATAAAGATATTTTCATTGGTTAGTTTACCTTGGCACGTCCTCTCATTGGTCAGAAGTTTGTATCCTTTCTTGCAGCTGCATTCAAAGCTGCCAACCGTGTTTCTGCACACATGGTCACACCCGGCGTTGTTCATGCGGCATTCGTCAATGTCTGTACCGAGAGAGAGAGAGAGAGAGCGAGAGAGAGAGAGAGAGTTTGAGCAGATACACATGCACTGGATTAGTGCTGATCCCTTCAGTTCACCGTGATTCAAACCAGCAGCGGAGGATACATGTGAAATAATCAAAAGGTAAAAGGGGTGACTGACCGTAAATATGACAGATTTGTCTGGGCTTAAACTATCAGCTTACTGTTCAAATCAGAAGAAGAGAGGGAGAAAGAAAAGTAAAAAAGAAAAGAAAAGATTTTTCTTTCATATAGAAACGTTACAGAAATGTAAACAATTTGGGGAACCTTACAACATTAAAAACATTTCACATTTAAAAAAAAAAACCCAACAACTTCAGTTTACAGCATAAAAATAATGAATAAATGCAAAAGACTTCAAGACTTCAATCAAATCATTTTGGAGTAATGCTGGAGTTATGTATAGAAAAAAGACAAGACAAGAAAACAAAAGAAAATATAAAAATACATTTTTATAGAAACTGTATAGAAATGTATACAAATTGGAGGAACTTATAAAATCAAATAATTCTTAAGTTTCTTTGATTTATAAGAAAAATAAAACCTTTCAATGTACAGAGTAAGAATAATAAATTACAGAAAATACCTTAACAATAACAGTCACATAATCACATAATTTAGCTCTTCATATTTAAAAAGCAACTATTAAAAGTAATTTCATGTCATCAGAAAATTAAACACATTTTACTCCTAATTAATTTCACCTAAGAATTCACCTCGACCGCAGACTTAATTAAACATAATCAGACTGTTTGTCATTTTGTAAAAGGCAGACTCTGCTTGAATCCTGGGAGCTTTAAGTGTCTTAAATATTGTTAATTTCCTTTCAGGCGCCTGAAAATTTACCAGATAGATTCACTTTATTTTCTGAAGCAACATATTTGAGTCCAAATGTTAAGTCTGTGATATTAAACAGTGGTATTTCTCAAGCACTCCTCTAAAACGAAAAACGAAAACGATTACATTTACGCATTTTGCAGATGCTTTTATCCAAAGCGACTTCCATTGCATCGGGTTTACATCAGTTTTTGTATTCCCTGGGAGTTGAACCCATGACCTCGGCGTTGCTAGCGCCGATCTCTATCGTTTGAGCTACAGGAATCAAAGAAGAGAAGTGAGAAAATGAGGCACGCAGACAAGAAATGAGGAGAGAATAAGAGAAAGGAGCAAATGCGAGAGGACGAGTGGATCGTGAGGGACACACATGGAGCGAATGTGCGGCTTCAGAGTCGCTGCGGGACTCCAACAGGAGGAAGTCTTTCAGGATCGCATCTCCTCTGGCCTGTTCTCTCGGAATCGGGATCAATATGTCATCAGCTTGTCCTGCTTTCCACTGGCTTTGATTGAGCTGCACTGGATGTTTCTGATTACGGCTGAATCATCTGAGTAAATGAGGCGTTCATCTCAGAGAGGCTGCATCATCTGGAGAAAATAACGGCATTAGGAGCAGAAGAAACTCTCGCTCTGGGCCTGAAGGAGGCTCCGTGTCTTCTCGTGCCAGTGCTGTCTGGGGAGGTTTTTCTTTGTTTCTTCTACAGCAGAACTAATAAAACTCAATGTTCTTTTATCGCTCTTGTTAGCGTAACGTTATGAGCGCTAGAGGCGACGCAGGCTCCCAGTCTTGGCCGCACGAACCCGCAAGTCTGCACTTCCAGTTGCTCTTCACCCTTTCGGAAACTCTTTTATTCTTCGTTAAACCCTTTCGTGCTCCCTCGTCTATTTTTCATGCTTCTTTACTTTCTTCAAAAGCAGTCGTTGATTTATATACACTTTTTCTGACATTTTTCTGGGCTACGAGATCAAGCTACGATTGTGGAAATTTCATCTTGGTGGCTGAAAATGTTGGAGTACCACTTACAGAAAAGAAAAGAAAACAAAAGAAATTCTATAGAAATTTTTATAGAAATGTATATAAATTGAGGAACCGTATAAAACCTTATTAAAATATAAAAAAAACTTACGCAGGAAGAATAAATATCTGCAAAAGACCAAAAGACAAAATCAATCACATAATTACAAAATTTAACTCTCCATTTAAAAAAAAATTTAAACTATTTTTTTTTGTCATGACAAAATTAAAATACATTTTATTCCTAAATAATTTCACCTAAGAATTCACTTTGACCACAGGTGTAATAAAAAATAATCAGATTGTGTGTCGTTTTGTAAAAAACAGACTCTGCTTCAATCCTAGGAGCAATATGTGCCTTAAATATAGCTAAAATACCGATAATTTTGCATCACCCACAATAAAATGTAACAGTAAGAAAAGACACAGAAAAGAAAAAGAAAAAGAAAAAAAATTCATAAAATTTATTGAAATTTGTACAAATACAAACCTATATATTATACCTATATATTAACAAAGAATTAAGAATGAATAATAAAAAAAAAAAAAAAAATGTATGCAGTAAAAATAATAAATAATCCTGTACTATAGCAAATAAACAGAAATAGAGGTGTAGAGGTTGCTAACCACCTTTAACCGCCGAAGCATTTGGTGGTTTTTACGTGACGTCAAAATGGTCACATTGGAGAACTCTGAGCTTTCATGAAACGTTCCCAACTTGTAATTACGAGATCTTCAAAGATGTGAACGCTGTTTACAAGTTGAGAACTCATAATTACGGTAATTCAGAAATGACGGCATGCAATAATGAGTCTGGGTGGGAGTTTTCTGATTTTTTGTCTTTGAATTCAAAATCTGCTGAAAGCTCCAGGACTGATCATGATGTGAAACCTTGTCCATGTGAAACGGCATTTTTGCAAAGTAATATGATGAGAAATTTTATCTATCTATCTATCTATCTATCTATCTTATGACCTTACTCTATCATCCATCTTTCCATCCATCCATCCATCCATCCATCCACCTGTCCATCTATCCATCCGTTTATCTATCTATCCATCCATCCATCCATCCATTCGTCCATCCATCCATCTGTCCATCTATCCATCCGTTTATCTATCTATCTATCCATTCATCCATCCGACTATCCATCCATCCATCCATTCGTCCATCCATCCATCCATCCATCATCCATCCGTCCATCCTTCCATCTGCCCATCCATCATACATCCTTCCATCCATCAATCCATCATCCATTCTTACATCCATCCATCCATCTATCTGACTATACATCCATTTGTCCATCAACCCATCTATCCACTCATCCATCCATCATCCATTCTTACATCCATCTGTCTGTCTGTCCGTCCATCCATCCATCCATCCATCCATCATCCATCTTTCCACCCATCATCCGCCAATCCAACCATCCATCCATCCGTCCATCTATCCATTTATCCATCCGACTATCCATCCATTCCTCCATCAATCCATCCTTCCATCTATCCATTCATTCGTCCGTCCATCCATCCAATCCGTCCATCTATCCATTTATCCATCTGACTAGTATCCATCCATTCCTCCATCAATCCATCCTTCCATCTATCCATTCGTATGTCCGTCCATCCATCCATCCATCCATCATCCATCTTTCCACCCATCATCCGCCAATCCAACCATCCATCCATCCGTCCATCTATCCATTTATCCATCCGACTATCCATCCATTCCTCCATCAATCCATCCTTCCATCTATCCATTCGTATGTCCGTCCATCCATCCATCATCCGCCAATCCAACCATCCATCCATCATCCATCCGTCCATCTATCCATTTATCCATCTGACTAGTATCCATCCATTCCTCCATCAATCCATCCTTCCATCTATCCATTTGTCTGTCCATCCATCCATCCATCTGACTATCCATCCATTCGTCCATCAATCCATCTATCCACTCATCCATCCATCATCCATTCTTCCATCCATCTGTCTGTCTATCCGTCCGTCCATCCATCCATCCATCCATCATCCATCTTTCCACCCATCATCCGCCAATCCAACCATCCATCCATCCGTCCATCTATCCATTTATCCATCCGACTATCCATCCATTCCTCCATCAATCCATCCTTCCATCTATCCATTCGTATGTCCGTCCATCCATCCATCCATCCATTCTTCCATCCATCGTTCCATCCATCCGTCTGTGTCCATCCATCCATCCATCCATCATCCGCCAATCCAACCATCCATCCATCATCCATCCGTCCATCTATCCATTTGTCTGTCTGTCCGTCCATCCATCCATCCATCTGACTAGTATCCATCCATTCCTCCATCAATCCATCCATCCATCCTTCCATCTATCCATTTGTCTGTCTGTCCGTCCATCCATCCATCCATCTGACTATCCATCCATTTGTCCATCAATCCATCTATCCATCTTAATCTCTTTCATGTTAAACTACATTTTTCTCATTGACCCCTCAAAACCTGGTTTATAATCTGCTGGGGTTTTATCGCTTCATGCATCATTTTCTCTTTTAACCAGAACAGAAGAATGCATGTCGCTCCTCATTAGGACTGTTAGATTTGTCTGTGAGATTAGAGGATGATCATACCTTTGCAGGTCTTGCGGTCCAACTGTAAGGTGAATCCCACCGGGCAGCTGCAGCGAACTCCAGTCACGGCATCATGACACGTGCTGTCACAGCCTCCGTTATTAACTGCACACGTCTCTGAAAACACACACACACACACACACACACACACACACAACCACACACACACACAGAGCAGCAGTCAGGACAGGAACAGCTTAACACATATGTGGATATTAAACCAAATGAACATCTCGTCTTGCACACTCTGGACAGCTTTGATTAGTCTAGTCATGAACGCAGCACATGCAAGCGAGCAGCAAACGTCTGTCGAACACCTTGCTATTGAGGGTATGAGCGTCGCCCAACAGGGGGGTTAGAGTTCAGCGTTCAGCTAAAGCATCTGTTAAGCAGCAGATTAAAATTTCACAATGACCATGACACTGCATTATAAATATGCATAAACTTGAACTTTGTTAAACTTTGTTGCATCAGCAAGTCTCAAATCACCAACTCTCATTAAAAATAAAATGTCTTCCAGTCACTTTGTACAAATAAACCACCCCTTTAAATGGTAACAACAACAATAATTAATAATAACAACAATAACAAAAACAACAATAATTAATAATAACAACAACAATAATAACAATAATAATAATATGAATAATAATAATTTATTTATTTACTTGTTACTTTCAAGGTTTGGGGTAGTCAATAAAGACAACAATGCCTGAAGAACAACAATAAAAAACCTATTATAAATATTGATGCTTATAAATAAATAAACATTATTATTTAATTGTATTATTTCATTTAATTGTATTATTATTAGTAATAATAATAATAATAACAATAACAATACATAAATAAATAAATAAACATTATTGTTTAATTTTATTGTAATATTTTATTTATTTTAATTGTATTAATACATTAACGACTAAAAACAATTATCTATATCTATATATAATCTATTATATATGATGCTTGTAAAGAAATAGATTAATAATAGTAATAATAATAATTATTATTATTATTAATAACATTATTATTACTAATTCTACTTGATACTTTTAGGATTTGGGGTAGTAAGTAAGTGAGTAAGTAAATACATACATACATACATACATAATGTTGTTGTTATTGTTATTATTATTATTAATTTATTAGTGTTTAGCATAGTCGCAATACAAGAAAAACTAAAAAAAGACTTTTAATCTACTGTATAGTGATATTAATAAATAAAGCAACACACAAAAAAAAATTCTTTCCTTATACTGCTCGCTTAATAATCTAAGCACAATAACTGTCATGAATAAGGGTTTACCACAAAGCTCTGCTGGCATTCATCAGTACAACTTTATAAAAGAGACCGAGAGCGAGCGAGATGTTGGAGGTGGGTGCACCTGAGAGGGTGCAGGTCTGTGTCACAACACGCCTCCGAAATGCTTCGAGATTCACAAACTGCATCCATCTCTGATTATAACGCTTGACATCTATGGATTTGAGAGCTGGAACACGCTCACACACAAAACACTCGCCTTTGTGAGGGGAAATTCTCTCATCTGAAAAGATTTGATTCAGCTGTGTGAGTGGATATAAATATAATCTTTTGATAGAGGAGATGATAAGCGGTGTCTGATTCACTGGGAGACACCTGTGAGCTTACTGAAGCAAGCTTTCCACTAAACTAATGATCCGTGCAGTGAGCAGAGTTAACCATCAAAGCAAAACTCTCGTGTTATTCAGCCGACTGTCTGAAGGAGTCCTCTTTCACGGGTCAACGATACGCTGAATGACATCAGTTCAACATTCAACTGATCCTCTGACATAGTAAATCTAATCTCTAATCAGTTTAACTACATGATTCGATTGTATTAAAACAGCTTACATTAAAACAACCTTACATTTTAATACTTTAAAATTAAAATAATATGAAATATAAAAAAAATAATAATTTAACAATAAATAAATACTTGACAAAGTTGTGCAGAATATCTTGCAGTAAATCACTGTAATCAGTTTTACCATGAAATTATTAATTAACATTAAAACAGCTCATAATCACATTTCAATGCTCTAAAAAACATATTCACAATATTTAAAAAATAATAATAATTTAACATCCATCCATCCATACATACATACATAAATAAATATTTAAATATAAACATTAATAAATACTCTGAAGAATATCTCAAATCACTTTGATCAGTTTTCCATAAAATTATTTATTAACATTAAAACAGCTCATAATTACACACACCTCATGATCTTATATTTTAATACTATTAAAATAAAATATTCAAAATATTTTTAAAAATAAAAAATAATAATAATTTAACCAAAAACTAAACATTTAAATAAAACAAACAAAAAAATATATATAAGCATTAAATTCTCTAAATGAAGCTCTGCAGAATAACTCTATTTTTATTTTAACCGCCTAGCAACCACTCAGAAGCAGATTAGCAAATACTGGGAAGGTTTTCAGGCCAACTCCAACATTACAGCAGCATATTTTTCATGGACACGCGCCATTTAAATGCTCTTAACAAAATCTAAAACTACAGCTTTAGGACCAAAGCAGACCTCATCGAGATACAATTATCATTTCAGCTTTACAGTAGCTTCAGATTGATGTCTGCTGCCAAAGATATCAGGCTCCTCTTGCAGGAGAGAGCTACAAATAAACTATGTTAAGACCTTCTCTGAAGACTTCAAACATCAAGCATCTAACACCATCCTCAGGCAACATAGACGAAGCAGCGGCTGGTTTTTGAGGCACCTGTGCATGCCGAGACCCGTTCAAACCCCTTTTCACTTGTGTCAGAAACACTCAAATGAACAACTCGGCTTTGGTCACATCCCAACACTTAATGCAACCATTATCTCCATAAACTCTTTCTATACGACACTCTTTGAGAGGAGTTAAATGTTAAGAGTGGGAAAACGCACTCATTAACTAGTACCCAGCAGGCCCGTTGCTAATGTAAAACCACCTCCAAGGAAAATTCAGGGAGAAGGATTTTCTACCGAGGCAAAATTCTAGACTGCTCTCAATTAACTGCAATTAGGTCATCTAATGGCTTCCCAGGAGATTGGATCACCTCACCTGCCCTTGTTCTTGCCATTCCGACTGAAACTTTAACCGAATAAGACAGTTGTTAAAAAAAGAAAGTCTCCGTCTGATTTGCATGTGTATTTTGTGTAATAATACATGTAAACCCCAGACTCCGTTGGCATGTTTGTACCGCCATCACTGTAATTGGACGTTTCACCTTACTTAAGCAAAACCATCCACCGACATTCAGCTAGCGCTCAGGAATCCGCTCACAATTGTAAATGTTGCCACAATTAGTTACTGAAAGGGTTGGAACAAGTCGGGAACATGCCCCCAGAGGTAGAGCTATTTGGTAAATATGACAGCTGTTGGCACCGGTCTCTCTCAACCTCAACCAAACACATCGGTCCCCATTAAATCCACTCTGATGTTAACAGGTTGACATGCAAACAAGCTCGTTTTTCAAAAACGCCAATGCTTTCCAAGTCGAGAAAATAGCATGAGCTGACAGAAAGAGAAACAAAGTGAGACGCGTTTTTGGTACTGGGACAAAGGTTGTCCTTGGACATTGGTGTATTTGCTGTGTGCTTATTTCAGGCCGAATAAACAAAATCCCAAGACAAGTGCATTTTACCAATAGCCAGAATGAATATTTAGTGCCAAACCGATGAGTCTCATTTATAATCTCAGAGCTTGTGCAATCAAAAGTGTGCACCCAAAAACAAACGCTTTCATAATTTGAAGTCATGCGTGAGGCACATTGAAAAACGAAGTACGGTGACATGTTATAGCAAGTCCAATTGAATTCCATTGCAAAAATGTATCCCAGGTCACAGTTTTGGGCCAAACCTGACCCATTTTTCTCATAGCAGAGACTTCATTGTTAAAACCTCATTAAACTTGCTTCCTTAGAGAATGGGTGGTTTCCAGTGAAAACGTTGCAAGAAAAGTTTCATTCAGACAATTCAAGAGTAAAACCATTTTAATGGGGGTAAATTGCATTGTGGTGATCTCCTGACTTGCCAGAATGAAGACATTTGCCAAGAACTGGTACAAATGTTGAATTTGGTGCAATAAAGGTTAGTAAGAATTCCAGCATTACCACGTCCACTACTAAAAGAAGTAGCTAATAGAAAGCAAGCTAGATAAAACTGACTTGTTTTCAAAATGGTAAACCATTTTAATGGGGGTAAATTGCATTGTGGTGATCTCCTGACTTGCCAGAATGGAGAAATTTGCCAAGAATTGGTGCAAATGTTGAATTTGGTGAGATAAAGGTTAGTAAGAATTCCAACATTACCACATCCACTACTAAAAGAAGTAGCTAATAGAAAGCAAGCTAGATAAAACTGACTTGCTTTCAAAATGGTAAACCATTTTAATGGGGTTAAATTGCATTGTGATGATATCCTGACTTGCCAGAATGGAGAAATTTGCCAAGAATTGGTGCAAATGTTGAGATCCAGCATAACCATGCCCATTTTAATGGGAGAAAATGGCATTGTGGTGATCTCCTGGCTTGCCAGAATGGAGAAACTGGCCAAGAATTAGTGCAATAAAGGTTAGTAAGGGTTCCAGCATAACCACATCCACTATGAAAAGACATAGCCAATAGGAATTAACCTAGAGAAATGTTCATATTTACCATTGGGTAAACCATTTTAATGGGGGTAAATGACATTGTGGTGGCCTCCTGACTTGCAAGAATGAAAAAACTGGTCAATAATTGGTGAAAATGTTGAAATTGGTGCGATAATGGTTAGTAAAAGTTTCAGCATAACCACAACCACTATTGAAAGAAGTAGCCAATATGAAGCAAGCTAGAGAAAATGACTTATTTGCCATTAGGTAAACCATTTTAATTGGAGTAAATGGCATTGTAGTGATCTCCTGACTTGCCGGAATGGATAAATTGGGCAAGAATTGGTGAAACTGCTGTAATAAAGATTCTAGCAAAACCACGCCCACAACTAAAAGATGTAGCTAATAGAAAGCAAGATAAAGTAACTGACTTATTTTCCAAATGGTAAACCATTTTAACGGGGGTAAATTGCATTTTGTTTATCTCCTGCAAATGTTGAAATTGGTGCGATAAAGGTTCGTAAGAGTTCCGGCATAACCACGCCCACTACTGAAAGAAGTAGGAAGCAAGTTAGAGAAATTGGCTTATTTACCAATGGATTAACCATTTTAATGGGAGTAAATGGCATTGTGGTGATCTCCTGACTTGCCAGAATGGAGAAACTGGCCAAGAATTGGTGATCTCCTGACTTGCCAGAATGGAGAAACTGGCCAAGAATTAGTGCAATAAAGGTTAGTAAGGATTCCAGCATAACCACATCCACTATGACAAGAAGTAGCCAATAGGAATTAACCTAGAGAAATGTTCATATTTACCATTGGGTAAACCATTTTAATGGGGGTAAATGACATTGTGGTGGCCTCCTGACTTGCAAGAATGAAGAAACTGGTCAATAATAGGTGAAAATGTTGAAATTGGTGCGATAATGGTTAGTAAATGTTTCAGCATAACCACACCCACTATTGAAAGAAGTAGCCAATATGAAGCAAGCTAGAGAAACTGACTTATTTACCTTTGGGTAAACCATATCAATGGGGGTAATTTGCTTTGTGATTGTCTCCTGATTTGCCAGAATAGAGAAGTTAGCCAAGAATTGGTGCAAATGTTGAAATTGCTGCGATAAAAGTTAGTAGGCATTCTAGCATAACCACGGCTATTATTAAGGGAAGTAGCCAATAGGAAACAAGCTACAGAAACTGACATATTCACCATTGGGTAAACTATTTTAATGGAGGTAAATTGCCTTGTGGTGATCCCCTGGCTTCTCAGAATGGAGAAATTTGCCAAGAATTGGTGCAATTGGTGCGATAAAGGTTAGTAAGAGTTCCAGCATAACCACGCCCACTATTGAAAGAAGTAGCCAATAGGAATCAAGCTAGAGAAATGGTCATATTTACCATTGGGTAACAGCTCTGGCTGCAGTGGCTGATGAGGGGTACTTCGTTCCTCTGCATACACACACACACACACACACACACATTACAAAAACACTGCTTAGTCTTCCAAGATTGACTTTATAAACTGTATAAAACACCCTGGCCAGTCAAATTAGTTTTTAGTTGCCCTAGTACTCATAATGACCCTTTTATGAGGCTACAGGAGCAACTGAGTTCATAAACTCCCTGTCAAAAGGCCAGCTTAAACCAACCCAAGGTTGTGTACTGATTGTAGTTGGTTTAAGCTGGTTTAGAGCCCATTAAACCGTCAAACTAGGTGAGCCTGAGCAGTCCAACATGATGTTTAACATGGTGTTAAATCAGTTTCGTACACTTTCGTACAAAGAGCAACAAGGCAGAGTGTTAGTCTTCTCATGCATCGACAAGACAACACTCTCAACACAGAGCAGATAGATGCAGACCGGTTAGTGTAAGAGAGTTTTACCAAATAACAAAGCCCATTGAACTGAACTGCTTATGAAACAAATGGTTTTAACAATATGATGCCTGGGGATTGTGTGTACCAGCCAGATGTGAACATCTGTTTCAGATTAGCATCTCTCTCAGGCTAAGAATCTCCACAACCCTTTTGTTTGCTAAGTGTCTTACTTCTGCGGAAATGTTCGTACAAATCCGCTGGCTTATGCGGAGGGCTTGGGTATGTCGTTTGATTATAGGATCGCATGAAGATGCCTGGACCCATGTGGAAAAACACTTAGCGGTTAGGTGTTAGCTGTTAGCGTTTTCACATTCTGTTTGGATATATTAAGAGTGAATTCCACTGGAAAGTGAGCATCACTTACTACTTGCTCGGAAAGTATTCAGACCCCCTTAAATTTTTCACTCTTTGTTATATTGCAGCCAGGATATATTAAGAGTGAATTCCACTGGAAAGTGAGCATCACTTACTACTTGCTACGAAGAGAAAGGTTCAAGGCATAACTACTATAGATGACTGTTTCCACAAAACTGTTTTCAACATTGCTAAAAAATCAGCATATTAGAATGATTTCTGAAGGAGCATGAGACACTGAAGACTGGAGTAATGATGCTGAAAATTCAGCTTTGATCACAGGAATAAATTACATTTGAAAATATATTCAAATATTAAACAGTTATTTGAAATTGTAATAACTTTTCACAATATTACCGTTTTACTGTATTTTCTAACAAATAAATGCAGCCTTGCTGAGCACAAAAGATTTCCCTAAAAATACATAAAAAAATCTTAATGATTCCAAACTTTTGAGTGCAATTCAAATGATTTCAAATAGTAAATTTGATCTGTCTACAAAGAGCGCCATTATCCATTGACGGCCATTAAAAAGTAGTTGTGCTTTCTGACTGCATAAATTGTGTGCAAATAACATTAAAACCTCAAGTCGCTAATTGGAGCGTGTATGACTGAAACTGCCATTGAGATGAATGGGAATGCTAACGCATTGCTCTCTTCAGGTATTTTTTGTCAATACTTGTGGATGTGTGATAGTGTTTGTTTTATTGCCATCCCTTCCGCTCATTGTGCGGTTTCAAACCAAACCTGTTTGGCAAAGCGACAGATTGAGAAGGATGAAAGCCGTATAAAGTGCAAAAGTAATCAGAGCGACCGAAATCCATCCCCACTGGAGAAAAGCAGTCAATGAGGATGAAGAGAGAGGGTTAGAGAATAGATGAAGTAGCTCAAGGAACAGAAAAGCCACCCAGTGAGATCAGAGTGATTGATTTTACTCTACCAATGTGCCATTGCGAGATTAAAGTCCGAGAGCTATTCCGCAGAGCCGTGAATCAAAGGATGTTCGGTTAAAAAAATGAGCAGAGATCACTTAGAAGCTATTCTGAGCTAAATTGCTCATAAGGATCCTATTGTATTAATGAGGTCTGACAAACGAAAATACAGGCGATCTGATTCATTGATGTAAATGCTAAGCTATTTCTGCCGTCGGGGCGAATCCAACCAGAGATGCTAAAGTGTTGGTCAGACTCCAGTCACTGACCAAATCACTGCAATGGCATCTGAAAATGTCTTTAACACATGCTACGTCTGGTCTTCTGAACTGTTTCTTTCTTAATATGCTGTAAACAAAGCGAGTGGGAAAAACACAGTGAGATGGCAAGACTTAAAAAGAATGAAAAACGAAAGCTTGTGCTGAATGTTTCTTCAACTTGGACAGTTTTGACCATGTGGACGTTTAGAAAATCAATTCTCTAAAATACACTCTGACTAGCTGAAGTTGAAGTATCACCAACTAGGAAGAATTCTTATTTTCTTCTAATTCTTAGTCCTTTTGTTGCTATAATACATTTAAATGAAATAGATCTGATAATAGATCTAAAAAATACATTTGAAAAAAATCGAATAAATTCATAATATTTATATTATTTACACATATTTACAATATAAAAATATTCTGATTATGTTTAATAACTGTAATACTATTATTAATTATATTTTAATTTTAAATTATTATTTAATAATTATTTAATAATTAGTAGTAGTATTATTTTTGATATTTTATTAAAAAAATTAAGCTAATGAGAAATTATTAATAAAATGATAACAGGTCAAAACCAAAATTGTATAAATTGTAATATTATTATTATTATTATAATTATTATTAGGCCATAAATACACAGAAATATTTTCAGTATAGAAATATTTTCAGTATCTTCTTTGTTTTTTATGTTTTTGTTTGTTTTTGCTAATTTCTTATTTGTTTTATTTCTTAATAATAATAATAATTATAGAAATAATATCATTTAATTAAACTAAATTAAAATTAAAATAATATTAAAATTATTTTAATATTTCATTTTATTAACTTAATATTATTAAATTAAATAGCATTAAACTGATTAAAAGTAACAGTAAAGACATTTGTAATTTTACAAAGATTTCTATTACTATTACACTAAAGACAAGATGAAAATTGCTGTAAAGCTGAAAATTCTGCGTTTCATCACAGAAATAAAGTATATTTCAAAATATATTAAACTATAAGAAAGTTTTTTTAAATTGTAATAATTTTTCACAATATTGCTGTTTTTACTGTATTTTTGATCAAATAAATGCAGCCTCAGTGAGCATAAAAGGCTCAAAAACATGAAAATCTTTCGTACTTCAAGTATATATAGACATATACTTTTTTTAACATTATATATTTTACTATTGCATTTAAAAAGTAGCAAGAAATAATAAAGGCATGCAATAAAAAGTTTCCAAGAAAGTTTAAATGTGACTTTCATCAGTCATAAGTTCTAAAACTCGACCTCCGGGACACAGAAGTGCCTGTCGTTGAAGAAACATCCATCCAGCCTCTCTCCACACCTTCTCTTATCATGCGAATGGTTTCCATCTCCTCAGGGGATTGTGGGTAGGCCACATCAATTACTCTGTGACTCCAACCCATCGCTCAACAGGGGCTCATTAATAAGTTCAGCTTGTTTTATTGTGGCTTTCTGGCCTATTAGAGCTCGTGAGAGAGCGACCCGGCGACCGCAGCCCAGCCTTGGGCAAGCGGCTCGATCTGGATTCCTGCGGGGCGAAATGTGCGACCCTGACATTCACCGCAGCCCTCTGGCCTCTGCGGCCTGCGCTTTACTCAGCAGAGCGCTCGGTTTGGTCTTCGGGGGCCGTCAGACAAGCCAGACGTCTCATTTGCGGCGCTGCTGGCAGGTTTCGGGGGGAACGGAGGGGTAATAATAGGGCGTCTGAGTGAGACCTTGACATAAGAGCTGAATCCAGAGTAAAAGAGGCGTGCAAGAAACACATCAGAAGCCAAACTAACCGCCGCTCGCTCTGGAAACAAGGTCCCTGACGTTGAGGCTGAATGCTGAAATGCTGATTTTAAAGCTCTGTCTTCGAGAGCGTGTGCATGTTTGTTTCTGTTTGGATGTGGCCGGATGTGAAGCCGGTTGCTAACTTCAGGATTCATAATGCCATCCTGAAGTCTGCGGGGCCGCTTGTTTTATGACTTTTCCAACTATTACAGCCGACGCTCCCAAGATCCATTTTCAGCTTCAGAGTACAAAAAACACAGATAAAAAGTGTCTTTTTTATGAGCATCAGTTTCTGTCGCTCACTCGCGGTAATATTGGCATTTGAGTTCAGCGTGACTAAACGACAAAGTATTAAATATTATTATATTTATTTTTGTATTAACAAAAATACAAAAATGATGGGTGAACCTCACAACAAATGTCCAGATCATAGTACAAAAAGAGAGAGAAACAAAATATCAATACATTTGAACAATTTTTTACATTTAAATAGAAATGCTAATAGATCTAATAATATTATAAAAATCTTATGCATTTATAAACAATACATTTAGAATGTAGTATTTAAAAATAATTTATTATTGATTAGTAGTAGTAGTAGTAGCATGCTATTATTATTATGATTATTATTATTATTACTATCATTAAGCTAAGGACAATTAATCAAAAATTAATAACTGATCTAAAAACAACAACAACAATAATTTACTGATTATTATTTGTAATAATAATAACAATATTAATAATAATAATAATAATACGCTTATGATACATAAGTAAAATATTATTATTATTATTGTTATTATTATTATGCTAATGATACATTAACCAAATTCATTATATAATACTTATTATATAATAAATTAATAAAGTATTATTATTATTATTATTATTAAATTTTCTATATATTATCTATATATACGGTAGAAAATCATTCTACTCTCTAAATAAAACATACATAACAATGAATCATCGTATAATCTATCTCTCTCTCTTTTTAAATTATTATTATTTTTATTTTTTTTTAGATATTTTAGATATTTAGGTATTTTCTTCGATATTCAAATTTAGCATCACGTGTAATTCAGACCTGGTGTAAACAGATGCAAGTCTGCTGTGGATTGCTACAGGTAGTCATTCATAAATCAGTGATCAGTAATACAGAGGTCTGCTGTGATTGGCTGCAGAAATACAAAGCAAAGCTGCGATTGGCTAAAGAGGTGCACAGAACAGCTTTGATTGGCACACACATACACACACTTATTATTCAGGCCATAAAGCTGCTGTGTGTCATTTTTTGGATCTTAAAACACTAAAATAATTAAACTATAAAGAAACAATCTTTATTCATTTGGTGATGCTAACGGCTCATACATCACACACTGCAGCTTTAAACAGCATTATGACCAATCAGTGCTTTTTAATAACGTGAAAAGTTGACGGGAAATGTGTTCAGTGAATCAAGCAAGCAAGGTTAAGCAGAAAAAAGACAACTAGAACAGGAAAGCACATAACTCTTCACATTCAGTGATCTTTATTTCCTAAGTTTGATATATGCTCAAATACATCAAGTCTATATCTCATGCGTAAGTGTCTTTTTGCGCTCAACTTTCAGTTTATAGCTCCCACAATGCCTGTAAATCCTCCACTGTGACTAGACTAATGGAAACACTAACATATGCATGTAAATGACACGTAACTAAAGGACAATGTGCTCACTGTAAAACATTAGAGATGCACAGAACAGTCATTTCTCACTGTACGTTCTGAACATCGCGTGAAGCTCGGAGATTTGGTTCCACCACATAAAATCAACTCTGGACTTCACAGAACATTAAGTTCGGATTTTCCATCAGAAGTCTCTTAAAGCCAATGCTTTTGCTTTAACAATGTCTGGAGTTCACTAGGAAGTCAATGTGAAATCAAAATCAACCCTATTCACTAAACGAACCCCTAAGCAATTCATCAATGCACATTATTTGTTTCAGCGAAACATCATAATCTCTGAAACTATTTTCTTTTTGGTTGACGTCACCGATCGCCTTTATTTTTTGTCTTCTAGTGACAACTTTTTCAAGTCTAATCAGAGTCCTCTGGATAACGCTGGTGAAGACTGTCAGAAGTGTTGAGTGTAGTTGCAGCAGCTGGCCAGGTGGAGTGCTGTGGTGGTGTAGAGGGTGTAACTCACCTACACAGGTCTTCCCATCAGAGTGAAGCGCAAACTTCATGTGACACGAACACCTGGGCCCATGGTCCATCTCCTCACAGATGTGCTGACAACCACCGTTACCATAGTTACACGTCACTAAACCAGAACAACAGCAGGATTAGAGATCACTAACCGTTTCCAACCATCATTTATCCATCCATCCATCATTCTGTCCATCCATCTATTCATGCATCCTTCTGTCCATCTATCCATCCATCCATCCAACTATCATTCCATTTATCAATCCATCGTTTTGTCCATCCATTAATCATCCATTCATGCATCATTCTGCCTATCCATCCATCATTTTGTCTATCCATCCATTCATTGATCGTTCTGTCCATCCATCCATCTCTTCATGCATTGTTCTGTCCATCCATCCATCCATCCATCATTCTATCCATCATCCATCCATCCGTCCATCCATCTATCCATTGTTCTGTCCATCCATTCATTCATCATCCATCTATTCATTCATGCATCGTTCTGCCCATCCATCTATGCATCTATCCATCTATCCATCTATCTATTCATCCATCATTCTGTCTATCCATTCATTCATGCATCATTCTGCCCATCCATCCATCATTCTGTCCATCCATCCATCCATGCGTCATTCTGTCCATCCATCCATTCATCCATCATTCTGTCCGCCCACCTGTCCATCCATTCAGGCATCGTTCTGTCCATCTATCCATTCATGTATCGTTCTGTCCATCCATCCATTCATCCATCATTCTGGGCATCCATCCATTCATCCACACATCTATCATCTATCTATCCATCCATCCATTGTTCTGTCCATCCATTCACTCTTCCATCTATCGATCCTCAATTCATGTGTCATTCTGTCATCCATCCATCCATCCATCCATCCAACTATTATTCCATTTATCAATCCATTGTTTTGTCCATCCATCCATCATCCATTCATGCATCATTCTGCCTATCCATCCATAATTTTGTCTATCCATTCATTCATTGATCGTTCTGTCCATTCATCCATCCCTTCATGCATTGTTCTGTCCATCCATCCATCCATCCATCCATCCATCATTCTATCCATCATCCATCCATCCATCTATCCATTGTTCTGTCCATCCATTCATTCATCATCCATCTATTCATTCATGCATCGTTCTGCCCATCCATCTATGCATCTATCCATCTATCCATCCATTGGTCTGTCTATCCATTCATTCATGCATCATTCTGCCCATCGATCCATCATTCTGTCCATCCATCCATTCATGCGTCGTTCTGTTCATCCATCCATTCATCCATCATTTTGTCCACCCACCTATCCATCCATTCATGCGTCGTTCTGTCCATCTATCCATTCATCCATCATTCTGTGCATCCATCCATTCATCCACGCATCTATCCATCTATCTATCTATCCATTGTTCTGTCCATCCATTCACTCTTCCATCTATCGATCCTCAATTCATGTGTCATTCTGTCCATCCACCCATTCATGCAACATTATGTCCATCTATCCATCTATCTATCCATCCATCCATTGTTCTGTCCATCCATTTATTCATCCATCCATCCCATCCATTGATGCATCGTTCTGCCCATCCACCCATCTATCTATTAGGGCTGTGCAATTAATCGCATGCGATTGTCATGCGCATCTCGTCAGTAAAGCGGGTTCTGTGATTAGTAGTAAATCTCCATCACCTGCTTTCAGATGGAGCGGCATTTACTACACAGAGCGAGCGTTCAGTGACAAGCTACGCAAAATCGTGTTCATAATCACAGGCGATTCGATCTGCGATAATGAACGCGATATTGCCTAATTGTCAGTGAACTATGACTCTGTGTAGTAAATGCCGCTCCATCTGAAAGCAGGTGAAGGAGATTTACTACTAATTCTATCCATCCATCCATTGTTCTGTCCATCCATTCACTCTTCCATCTATCGATCCTCAATTCATGTGTCATTCTGTCATCCATCCATCCATCCATCCATCCAACTATTATTCCATTTATCAATCCATTGTTTTGTCCATCCATCCATCATCCATTCATGCATCATTCTGCCTATCCATCCATAATTTTGTCTATCCATTCATTCATTGATCGTTCTGTCCATTCATCCATCCCTTCATGCATTGTTCTGTCCATCCATCCATCCATCCATCCATCCATCATTCTATCCATCATCCATCCATCCATCTATCCATTGTTCTGTCCATCCATTCACTCTTCCATCTATCGATCCTCAATTCATGTGTCATTCTGTCATCCATCCATCCATCCATCCATCCAACTATTATTCCATTGACAAGCTACGCAAAATCGTGTTCATAATCACAGGCGATTCGATCTGCGATAATGAACGCGATATTGCCTAATTGTCAGTGAACTATGACTCTGTGTAGTAAATGCCGCTCCATCTGAAAGCAGGTGAAGGAGATTTACTACTAATCACAGAACCGGCTTTACTGACGAGATGCGCATGACAATCGCATGTGATTAATTGCACAGCCCTACTATCTATGCATCTATCCATCCATCTAATCATTCATCCATCCACCCACCCATAAAAAAGGTAGGAAAATGCTCAAATGCTTCTAATATTCCCATGGGGAGTGTGTATGTAATTTCTCTTGCTGATGAACTGTGATTTGACTCACATTTACAGTCTCGGTTGTTCTTGGTGAGCTGAAATCCAGGTCTGCACTCACAGGCGATGCCTCCTTTGGGTGTCTCTCTGCAAATGTGGGCACAGCCGTGATTTTTATCCATGCAGGTGGGCACTTCTTTAGTTCCATTAAAACGCACTGCAGAACAAAGAAAGAGGAAAATATACACCCTTGCTGAATAAAAGTATGAATTCCTTTGCTAAAAAATATTACTGGCCTCAATTTTTTGAACAGTAGAGCATATGCATATACAAAATGAAACATATTCTGATTGGCTCAAAATTTTCACTCTCAGAAAAAAGACAGAAAAACTTGGACATTTTAAACTTTTGTCACTTCTGGTTAGGAAACATTTAAGCTACTCTCAGGAACAGTAGCTTTGGGATTTCCTTCAGTTTACCCAAAAGTACACAAACATTCCTGTGAACGTACAGTATACTAAAATATACACACTAGTTTGGTTTGCAGCATATACAAGACTCACAGCTCAGTTAAAGAGCGTTCGTACGTCTAGTTCTGCTCGGTGAGAAAAGTACCAGTCGTTCAGAACCAGAGAACCAGCCCAAACCCGTGGTGAGTGTTGCTTTTCTTTGCCTGACCCCAGATCAGAATCATGTTCAGCAGTGTTTGAACAGTAAGAGGAGAATGAAAGCACCCCACTGACTTCAGACCCCAGGACGCATCTGTGTCAACAGACCCACGGCACCCTGGGAAAGCAGCAGAAAGAGCTGCAGGGAGCTGAAGGGAGCATCAGTATCCAAGGTTATATGAGAGAACAGCTTATATCACATTTATCTGACAGGGGCCACGTATATACGCAGCCAAACTTTGAGAAAGCAACTTTACAGGAAAAACATGTCAAGATAAAATGATTTGTTCTTGAAAGCAATGAAAAATTAAAGGAACACTCCACTATTTTTGAAAATAGGCTCATTTTCCAACTCCCTAGAGTTAAACAGTTGAGTTTTACCATTTTCGAATCCATTTAGCCGATCTCCGGGTCTGGAGGTAGCACTTTTAGCTGTAGCTTAGCATAGATCATTGAATCTGATTAGACCGTTAGCATCTCGCTCAAAAATGACCAAAGAGTTTCTATATTTTTCCTATTTAAAACTGGACTCTTCTGTAGTTACATCGTGTACTAAGACCGACGGAAAATGAAAAGTTGCGATTTTCTAGGCCGATATGGCCTCTCATTCCGGCGTAATAATCAAGAACTTTGCTGCCATACCATGGGTGCAGCAGGCGCAATGATATTACAGAGCGCCTGAAAATAGGCTTATTGGAAGTTACCTAGCTGGGACTATTTTCAGGCGCTGCGTAATATCATATTACTATTTGAATAATATCATATTACGATTAATATCATAAAATACTATTTGAACTATTGATCTCAAAGATGCTAATCAGCACATGGTTAGCTAGCACAGTTCTGAACAGTTGTACACA